GGCCAGCACCTGGAGCACCTGGGCTCCGCAGGCCAGGAGGCCTGCATCTCTGCTGTTTTTTTTTTTTAATGCATTTCTTTTCTGTTTTTCTTTTCTATTTTTTAAAAAAATGACCAATGGTGTTAATAAATAAAGTATTCATATATACATGAGTGGGACGACGGTTCTGGAGTGTGCGGCCGCGGCAGCGCTGATGAGGTGGGGACACACATAGGGGGGGACTTTCGTAGAAAATTGCTGAACCTTACAAAAAAGTCTCCTTTTTTTTATCTTTTCTTTTTTTTTTTTTTTTTTTAAGTTGAGGTAAAAGTTTCAGTGTATGAAACCTGCACACGCAGCCTCTGTACCCACACCCGGGAGCTCCTGGCGTCGCAAAGGTCAGAAAATCTCCACGGCCCCTTCCACGCACGCCCCTGGCCGTCCCCCCACCGCCACCCCCTGCAAAGCTCAGTCGGAGCCACGAGGAACCCCGCCTGGCCCAGCACCACTTCCCACGCGGGCCAACCGCCCTCGGCTCCTGCAGGAGGCGGCGGCCCTCGGACACCAGGGGGGAAGGGACGAAGCCAACAGCTTCCAAACAGAACCGCCTTGGAGACACTGCGTGGAGGCGGTTCCCGGACCAGCGCGGGCCTGGGACAGGGCTTTGCAGGGAGGGACTCTCCGATGCATCGTCCTCGTTTTCCTGCGGCCACCAGGTCAGCGTCTGCAGCTGTCATCTCCGAGCCCTCGGACTCAGTGGCAAAGAAAAGACGTGATGCGGACGCACACCGTCTCGTAGTCCGGGACCCACGACCTCTGACCTAGGAAAGCGACAAGGGCGGAGGCCGGACACTGGGTGACAGAGAGACCTGCACAGCGTGAACGGAAGGAGTATATTGACTGTACCACTCCCCCCCTCCCGCTCCACCACGCCGTCACCCACACGGCGTTTGCAGCACATCCAGTTTCACACCCACTACACGCCACGACCCACCCACGCCTCGGCCCGGTCACGTGATGAGCGTGTACACGTGTCTGTGGAAGAGGAGGGAGCGCTAATGAGACTGCAGGTCATGAGACGTCTGTGGGTCTGTCCTGAGACCCCTGAACGCCGGAGGGTAAGAATGTCTTGTTATTTATAAGATCCTTTGGGTCACCCCCGAGTTTATACTAACGAGTGTCTGGCTGGGGCCCCCAGATTGCCACCGGATGGGGCTGGTCACCAGGAGGACCAAGCCATGTAGGAGGCGGGAACTTGGAGCCCCATCCCATGTGGGGGGGTTGAGGGGGGGAGAAGCACATGGAGCCGGGAGGGTGGCCGTCCGAGAGGGCGAGGCAGCTCCTGGTGGCCACCCCTGGCTGTCACTCCTGGGTCACACCCTGTATCACGGCCCTGAGAGGAGGTAACACGCTCGCCTGAGTTCCGCGAGCCGTGCCGAGTGGAGGGGGGGGGCTCGGGAACCCCCGGGTGCAGCCAGCAGGTGGGTCAGCGCTGCGGGAGGCCAGGACCCGCACCTGGAGTGCGAGGCGGGCGCTCTTGTGGGCCGAGCCCCGCCCTACGGGTCTGCACTGACTCTGAGGACAGTGTCAGACTGAACTCAATTCCTGGGTATCCAGGTGGCGTCGGAGACTGGACAACTGGCTGAGAAAACCCCACCGTCTGGCGTAGGAAGGGTGGTGAGTGAATATAGCGTGGATGGGGCACATCTGTACTACTGTCACTTAGAAGTCACTTAGGAAAAATAGGCTAATAAATAAATAAAAATAAACAAACAAACATATACAGCAATACGACCATCCAACACCCCGGAGACGGGAAAAATGAACGCAATCTGCTACGAGGAGCTGACGGGGTGTGGGTGGGCTGAGCACCCCCACCTGCTGACACAGAGATGCCGCCCATCAGTCGGGCGCAGGCAGGCGCAGGAGCACCGCTCTGCCCTCCCCAGGGTGAGCCAAGGGGGCCTTCAGCCCTGAGCGGG